AGTGACGTGATCGGTCGAGCAGAGGACGAGAGAAGGCTGAGGAGCTGTGACGACGAGTGAGAGCACGAGAGAGACCGGCGATGAGAGAGAGAGAGAGAATAGAGAGACGAGAGAGAGAGACGGACAGATCGAGCGAGAGAGACGAGAGAGACATGGACGCAGAGATGACGGGGCAGAGAGAGAGGCAGATGACGAGCAGAGAGAAAAGAAGGGCAAGAGAGATGAGAGAGACGAGAGAGAGAGAGAGAGGAGAGTGAACGAGGAGAGGGAGAGGGAGAGTCCGAGAGGCGGAGGCGAGAGCGGAGAGGTCCTTGGAGCTGATGGAGAAAGAAGAGAGTAAGCTGAGCACGGGAGAGAAGAGAGGAATAGGGACCCTACCCGTTGGTTCTGGGTTTGGTTTGGCTAGTGCGATGTCGTTCCCGTGCGAGCTCAGTATCGCGTATCGGTGGCCCGACCTCACGATCCTGCATCATGAACGATCCAGCCGGCGTCACCTGTCAGCAACAAACAAACAACAATGATGAAGTACGCTCTACTGTTTACATAATTGCCCATCAAACCATAACTCCGATAAAACTAGTTTGTACTACAGTACACAATCTATTATCTGAAACCCCTTGGGACAGACACGTTTCGCGAAGTCAGAATTTTCCGATTCGGAATGTCAGTAATGAGAGAGTACTAATTTATACATTACGCTAGCTATCTTGCAACAAGCCAGGACTTAAAACGCAGCGTTTTCAACGAGGCCATGTACATGTACCGGCTACGCAGCTAATCAATATCGTGCCGAAGAATTCCAAACATATTAATATTTCGGCAGTGAACCTTGTGCAGCCAAATGAGAGCTTTGGTGCGCAGACGACTTCCACGAATAAACTTCCGGATTTCGAAGCTTTTCAGTTTTCAGAATTCGGATAATAGATCGTGTACTTTATTAACACGCTCACAGAAGAATAGCAGAAACATCAAATGTGTGCCAGCAGATGGCACCCATCGCACATACCCCAGACGTGCGTCCCACCCAATCAAATTCGCTGTCGTTGGACCAGCCCTTGCGTTCCAGTAGATCCAAGAATAGCTTTCTGAGGTAGTCGTAGTCAGGCATCTCAAAGAAATCAAGCCGCCGCACGTATCTGAGGTATGTGCAGAACTCTCTGCAGCGAGGAGAAACAAAGATAAACGTATAGTCTATCTCTATCTCTATCTCTATCTCTATCTCTCTCTCTCTCTCTCTCTCTCTCTCTCTCTCTCTCTATCTCTGTCTCTCTCTCTCTTATAGACCCCGGCACTTGTATAGTAAAATAGCTATTACCTCCATCTATTACTGTCTCGGCCCCCGTGAGCTCACCTTTCCTAGACGGGCACCGCTGCTTCACGATAGCCCAGCTGGCTGATGCTTAACTCTGCTTTTCAGCCACGTGGCACAGCGTGGGGCGAGTCTGACATGCAACAGAACCATCTTGGCGCCAACTTGTTGACAGTGAATCAGCAGCTTGCTGGATCCACGCAGGTAGGTCACATGTCGCGTCATGGCGTCTCCGCCCGTTACGTCGATCACGGGCTGCTTCCCCTTTTTCTATCCATTTTCCTCTCGCTCGTCTCTGTGCGATTAGCATAGAGTTGCAGAATGTAGCCGTGAGTGTATCAGCAATTCATTTATGAGATGTATATCTACGTTTGTTGCTAATCTGTATTTGTTTGCATAGAGTTAATACTTCATATCATTGCCTACAGAAGGAACTCCCATACTGATTTCACATTGTGCCTTTCGTCATTCTTGCTGTACTGCTTTTGAAACAATATAAGGTTTAAACTGGATTAAGGATACACTCAAGATTTGATCCGAACATTTCGTTGATTTTGCCATTTTTAATCTTATTCGATGGCTAACACCAGGTGCCACTTCTTTACAAGCCTATTTCTTCACGTACCAATGTATGTAGGCTTTCCTAGCGTTTGTATTGCCCACGTATGTGTGCAGCAAGCCATGGCCCTTTACACATACATTTACTATTGACGTCAGAGATGCGATCCAGCCATCCATCCAGCCAAATTTTTGAGCTTGAGCATAGCGATACATCTCATCTGTAAATAAATTTTGTGTTTGATTAAATTCATTGGTCAAGAAACGTTTACTGTTCATTAGAGCAATGCCCGTGCAAATGCTGAGTGTAGCTTTAATCGTACATATCCATGCATTCTAAATGTTGTGTATGCGTGTGCATTTGTTTGGTTGTTTGATTGTTTGGTTGTGTTTATGCTTGTGGCTGCATTGTGATATCTGTAACACATGTTGAAACAACGCAATACTATGATGCGTGGCGTGCATAATTACTATCACCGACCTGTTGTTTACCTGTACAAGTGATGAACTCACTGTAATTAACATGTGTGTTGTTTACCTGTACAGGTGATGAACTCACTGTAATTAACATGTGTGTTGTTTACCTGTACAAGTGATGAACTCACTGGTAATATAACATGTGGTGTTGTTTTACCTGTACAGAGTGACATGAAACTATTGTAATTAACATGTGTTTTTGGTTTACCTGTACAGGTGATGAACTCACTGTAATTAACCTGTGTGTGTGTTTACCTGACAGGTGATGAAGCTCACTGTAATTAACATGTGTGTTGTTTACCTGTACAGGTGATGAGTCACTGTAATTAACATGTGTGTTGTTTACCTGTACAGGTGATGAACTACTGTAATTAACATGTTTGTTGTTTACCTGTACAGGTGATGAGCTCACTGTAATTAACATGTGTGTTGTTTACCTGTACCGGTGATGAACTCACTGTAATTACATTGTTGTTTGTTTACTGTACATGGTGATGAACTCACTGTAATTAACATGTGTGTTGTTTTCCTGTACAGGTGATGAACTCAACTGTACATTAACAATGTGTGTTGTTTACCTGTACAGGTGGATAGAGCTCACTGTAATTAACCATGTTTGTTGTTTATCTGTACAGGTGATGAACTCACTGTAATTAACATGTGTGTTGTTTACTTGTACAGGTGATGGTGAACTCACTGTAATTAACCCATGTGTGTTGTTTACCTTTACAGGTGGAGCTCACTGTAATTACATGTTTGTTGTTTTCCTGTCACAGGTGATGAGCTCACCTGTAATTAACATGTGTGTTGTTTACCTGTACAGGTGATGAGCTCACTGTAATTAACATGTGTGTTGTTTACCTGTACAGGTGATGAGCTCACTGTAATTAACATGTGTGTTGTTTACCTGTACAGGTGATGAACTCACTGTAATTAACATGTGTGTTGTTTACCTGTACAAGTGATGACGTCACTGTAATTAACAATGTGTGTTGTTTACCTGTAGCAGGTGATGAACTCACTGTAATATACATGTGTGTTGTTTACTGTACACGGTGATGAGCTCACTGTAATTAACATGTGTGTTGTTTAGCCTGTACAGGTGATGAGCGTCACTGTAATTAACATGTTTTTGTTGTTATACTGTACAGTGATGAACTCACTGTACTTAACATGTGTGTTGTTTACCTGTACAGGTGATGAGCTCACTGTAATTAACTGTGTGTTGTTACCTGTACAGGTGATGAGCTCACTGTAATTAACATGTGTGTTGTTTACCTGTACAAGTGATGAACTCACTGTAATTAACATGTGTGTTGTTTACCTGTACAGGTGATGAACTCATGTAATTTACATGGTGTTGTTTTACCTGTACAGGTGATAGACTCACTGTAATTAACATGTGTGTTGTTTACGCTGTACAGGTGATGAGCTCACTTATTAACATGTGTGTTGTTTATACGCTGTCAGGTGATGAGCTCACTGTAATTAACATGTGTGTTGTTTACCTGTACAGGTGATGAGCTCACTGTAATTAACATGTGTGTTGTTTACCTGTACAGGTGATGAGCTCACTGTAATTAACATGTTTGTTGTTTACCTGTACAGGTGATGAACTCACTGTAATTAACATGTCGTGTTGTTACCTGTACAGGTGATGAACTCACTGTAATTAACATGTGTGTTGTTTACGCTGTACAGTGATGAGGCTCACTGGTAATTAACGATGTGTGTTGTTTACCTGTACAGGTGATGAGCTCATTGTAATTAACATGTGTGTTGTTTACCTGTACAGGTGATGAGCCCATTGTAATTAACATGTTTGTTGTATATCTGTACAGGTGATGAGCTCGGCTAACGGTGAGCTGAATGCTAATGAGCCGTCGGTCGCGCAGTCTCAAGTGCCGATCACAAAACAGACTGAGATAGAGGTCGTCGACGAGACCAAGTGCTGCTGCTTCTTCAAGCGACGGAAGAAGAAGTCACTTACCAAGCAGAAGTGATATAGGAAGACACGCACAGAGGCTGCATCACCACGGTAACACCGTCAAGCACTCCACATCAACGTGGCACCCCGGCTACATCCTGTGAAGTACCGGCTAGCTTCATCAGTGGTCGGCGTCTGCGTGAGACGGTGGCGATGTCGCTCTGGTAACGTCTCCAGCATTGCTAGAAGCCTCGTGTGGTTTCGCCAGAATTATGCGAGCGCGTCTGTGCGTGTCATCTCTCGAACGTTAGGAAATCACATCGCCTGTTGTCGGACGGCGCCCCGACGTGGACGATATCGGTCGTGCAGCCAGTGCTGTGGCTGTGCAGTGGTTCGTACTGACGCAGCCACACTCACGGTTCTCGTAGCATCCCCCCAGTGTGTGTTACCACGACTACCGGCAAGTCACTATAGCGTCGTAGGGTGCCATCTGTGTGTCTCTAGTTCCACATGCACGTCCTTCCATCTCTCTATCCCTGGCACGCATACACATAGATAGTGCTACGCTTGCCCTCTTGTCGACTTCGTCCCAACATGTGAGGAAAATCGCATCTGTGGCACTGCGCTGTCGTTGGATAGGCTATCTCACGCAATGGCACATGCGATAAGATAGTGTCACAACAACACACCTGTCCATCTGGCATGATTGACATGCAGCTCTAGCCAGCCAGTGTCAAGACAGGATGTGATTAAAAGGCTGAGCATTATTAAATGCTTGGCGACAAAGTGCCGCAAATTGACAATTTGGCGCGCGCGCACACGTGAAACGTGGTGGTTACGTATGGAATGCTAGTCCTGAGATTGATGCAACTGGCAACAGCATTCAATGCATGTGTGATTATCTCAAGTTGACATAGGATATATCGTTTAACAATTATCCTTCACAATAAAAGTGTGTCTCAGCGTGTGTGCGTTCGTACGTGCGTTGCGTGCGTGCGTGAGAACGTGCGTGCGTGCGTGCGTGCGTGTGTGAGTACGTGCGTGCGTGCGTGCGTGCGTGCGTGCGTGCGTGCGTGCGTGCGTGACTACGTGCCTGTTTATTTGAGGGTGGTTACGTTCTTCACTTGATGTTATTCTCGCTGTGGTCACTAAAATGAGAGCTGGGGTATGATCATGGCTACACCGGGCCAGGGTGGTGTTGGGTAGCACAGCGAGGCGTGAAGCAGGTACAGGCGTGAATATGTGGAGTGGCTGAGGTGCGTGTAGATACGCATGTTGAAATGTTGAAAGGTGCTAAGTGCTTACTTTTGCTGCTAAGTGCGGTGCGAGTTGTGTCGACATATCTGAATAACTGCATTGGCTCTGGTCGCTGTTACGTCTAGTATTTTTGATGTTTTTGTCGCTTTAGGGTGGGGAGAGCAGAGCTATGGCTCAGTGCAGGCCACTGTGCTCATGTAGAGCATTCACGTCTGAGAATAGTTGCTACTAGATACTACTATATGTCCCATCAGTACACAGCAATAGTATGAAGTAGTTGTTTTTAGTTGATGCTAATGGAATGCTGTGTGGGATATATTTGCCTTGTCAACTGGTGGGTGTAGGCAAATTGGGATTAATTTTGGCAATGGATGCGCTGTCCCGTATTATTAATGAGACAAACTGCTTGATTTGCTTAGAGACTCCTTCGGTGCAGAAATTGTATTTTTCATTGTTATGTAATAATTGACCTGTCAGTCTGGAGTGATTGACAGGGAGCTAATGGCAATCGTTTTTATGCCAGGACAATCTAAAAGACAATGCTAGGCAACGAAGTGACGTAAAGTCGACAGTTTGGTGTGCGCCCATGAAAATCGAGAACAAACTGGTCTAGCTTAACTTACCTAGCAAAAATATCTGGGAGATGCGTGGTTATTTCTCTTAGGCGAATAGTGCAGTTTGGATGCGGTTTGCAATCACCTGTTTTTCCCACACGCCAACCAGACATCTTTCTGCGATAAACATTAGTGGTCTGTAACACACAACCCTACCTGACTTAACTAAGACGAAGATGAGCATAACATAGGTCATCGCTCGGCAAGAGCTCTAATATTTTACATACACTTTTCTACGCTACTTGTAGATATGTAAGCTTGAACCCCACCTCGCAACTATTAACTAGCAAGTAACTCCTGGTTGCCCCTCTTACTTGCAGGTGCAAAGGTCTTTCAATAAAGGTTGATGATAAAGGTCTCTCTCTCTCTCTCTTTCTCTCTCTTCGTGCTCCCTTCCCTCTCACTCCTTGCCTCTCTCTATCGCTCTTCTTTCTTTTCCTTTTTCCTCTCTTACTCCCTCTCTCTCCATAAGAAACAAACGTCCGTTAAACGTCTTACTATCTATCAATAGAGATGTGGGTAGTGGTGTTTTGACCCTGCAGAGTAAACGTACGATCACGGGTGTTGTAAATAAGACCAATATCGTACAATTCGCTGGTAAAAGATTCAAGATTCTATATTCAAGTACAGGATAGTCCCATATGGTCTATGTTTGTGTGTGTCTTTTAATCCCATTATCTCTTATGTGTCATCTGACAGAATCCCGTAAACTATTATCTATACTAATAACGTGAGAACACCACTCGATTTCTTCAATGTGTAGTAATATAATAAAATAAAAACAGTAGACAGGGATGCAATTGCCTTAGCTAATTATGAAGTGAAGGAGTCAAGTGTGTGACGGGGAGGGGATAATTACTAAGGTATCTAGTGTGTGTTGCTGCTGCCGCTGCTGGTTATGGCGACGTTTTTGCTGCAACTGCTACTACTCGTACTACTTCTACTGATTTTAGAATTATTGCTACTATCACTGTTACTGCTGTTATTGCTATTTAATCTGCTGTTGCTGTTACTACTACAATTACTGCTACTCCTATTACTTCTGTTAATGCTACTGTTACTATTGCTATGACTTCTAGTATGGCTCTTACTAATACTACTGCTACTATCGCTATGACTAATAAATAATGTTGAGCTGTAACTACTGCTACTAGTGTTGCTGTTGCCATAGCTTTCGCTGCTGCCTGCTACATCTGTCATTATATAGATGCTAAAGCACATAGGTAGAGGCACGTAGAACTAGCAGCCTAAGCACATGCCGGATTTCACATCCCCTGCACAACCCCCGTGTGTCTCCATGTTTGATGATGTTCTATTGTTATTACTAACACAGAGCATGTCGAAGCCCACAGATGTCTACATTCACTGTATGTGTAATACATATACAGTCAAATCTGTATATAACGACACCAAAGGGAAACACCCAAAGTCACGGGAACACAATGGCGATTCTATAGAAGTGAATTCACTTCATAGCTGCTACTCAACGTGACCGCCAAAGGTGGACGCGATGGGCAGGTGGCCGTTCTGTGAAGCCGAAGGTGGCTTCTAGCACAAGTTTGCCTCTATTATAGGATGTCTATGGCGCGTGAAACCTGTACCCGTGTTCTCATACCTTCTACTAATGACAGTGTCACAGGAGTTGGTTCGTCGGTGTCCACGTGTGTTAAAATAATCGAAGTATTGTAGTTGCGTTTTGCAACAAGAGTAATCCAACATTGTATGTTACCTTTGTTATTTACACTCTACTGCCACTACTATTACTGCTGCTGATGCTACTATTTAGTAGTAGTAGTAGTAGTAGTAGTAGTAGTAGTAGTAGTAGTAGTAGTAGTAGTTTACTACTACTACTAATACTACTACTACTATTACTATTACTACTACAACTGCTACTGCTACTACCACCACTTCTACTGCTGCTACTACTACTACTGCTGCTGCTGCTGCTGCTGCTGCTGCTGCTGCTGCTGCTGGTAGTGGAGTGGTGGTGGTGTGATGGTGGGCTGATGGTTAGTTGGTGCGTGGTCGTATGGGTCGCGTGCTGTGTGCCTGCTGCCTACTACTACTTACTCACTATATTATATACTATTACCTGGACTGCCTTATTTCTACCATAATGGATGTTTCTCGCGCCGTGGCTACGGGAAGAGAGAGGGGAGGGCGCGGCGCGAGGGGAGAGCGACTGGAGAGGAGAGAGGCGGGAGGCTGGGTTGATGGTGGGGAGGATGGACGAGAGCGGCTGCGCGGATTGAGAGGAGCCGATGTGCAGCAGAGAGATGAGAGAGAGAGAGAGAGCCGCCTATCAGGGGCTGCCGACGGGGCCCGAGTCTGGTCGCCGCGCCGAGACGCGTGGGATAGAGAAGAGAGTGACGATTGAGTCAGCGGCGGGTAGATTTAGACAGGGTACGAGCAGGCTGTCAGCGCCCGAAATTACACCGGAGGCTAGTTTTGTTGTTTGCTGCTGGCTGTGTTTAGCTTGCACACACTCAGTCATGCCTACCACAGGCACTTGCAAGCGTTTCATGATAAAACGTATAATGCTAAGATAAATACGAAATTTAGTTTTCACACTTACAAGTTCGTTAATTGTTTCGGTATATTCTGTTTTCAACCCTAGTTTATTGCGACCATTTCTATAAATGCGGCGTTCAATGCTCATCTACAACAAAGCACTGGCTGTCCCGTCCAAGCGCCATTGCTGACACTGACACACATATTATATTATGATAAGTGTCCAGTGCGCCAGCCTTGCGAGCGGCGCAATGGCGCTTTGGCGGCAGCCAGTGTTCTGTTGTAGATGAGCAGTTTCTGGATGCATTTACAGAATATTGTGCGGCCGAATAATAGGTGAAAAGAGAGTATAGAAACATTAAGACTTTGGTAGTAAATAGATTTCGTATTTATTTAGCATTATATTTTATTGAAACGCTTCAAGTGCCTGTGATGCCTATTTCGTGTCTCGATCGTGCAGTGTATGCAGCAATGCGCACTTCGATTTCTGGTTGAGGATGGCCCACCACACGTACCCTGTGTGGCTCAGCTCAGAAAGACATTCTTAATTCGCGATTTCACCTATCGTCCTGGCGCGAACGACTATTAGCTCTAGCCACTTATGTTGCCGTGTAGGCGTTCTGAAAACGCCGCTTAGTAGTGACGTAGCAAACGTGCATTCGTCGAAAACACGCATGCATAATATAGCGTAGCTTAACCGACCTAGCAACAATATGCGAGGGGTTGTGATTACCTCACGTAGACGGACAGGTCGGTTAGATTCTCATCGAGTTAATGAGGCAGTCTAGTCATCAGTATTACTTATCCCCCCCCCACCACTTCTGACCCATAAGCTGTGCTCATGGTGTTAGCTCTAGATTTGTACACTTGTAGTATCATACATCGGCACCTACAGGCAACGATGCTCCTTGTATACACTTTAATGCATCCCTCCTGTGTGTCTGTATGCAGTATGTCTACAGGAATGTTCTAGATTATCATATAGAATGCGTGTTCATTTATTTGCTAGTTTTGTCTGGTAAATCGCCGTGCTAGTTCTCACGTTACCTCTATGGACAGACGCACTATACGGGGCGCTACTGAGGCAGCGCGTATTAACCGGTCGCTCGCCGTTGCCGTGGAAAAGCGAGACGCGGAGTTACGTAACCCACTTGGTTTGCGTCCACTCAATTGTGGTACTTTCAGAGTCGCTATGATCTGCCCACAACGGGTGAAGCGATTAGATACCCCACTATACACATCACCGATGTCACTGCTTGTATAATTTTTAGTTTTTCACTATTTCGTACACCGTTTTCAGATGTTTTCTATCGTAAAATATTAACATTTGTAGAGAGAGTTCTGTGTCGCTGTTGGCAAACGTTGTTGTCAATGCTGGCATGTAAAAAATACGTTGCGTGCAAGGCAAGTTACAAATTCGAGATGCTCCGTCACTGGTTATCAAGCTGTCTCGCCTGTCTGCTGTATGTATTGTAGAAGGCCCATGAACATATCAGACTTACGCACATCGAGTTTTATCAGTAGAGGTGTGTACATGTAGCGTTTGCTGTAATGCTATCAGGAGTAAGATAATATAGGATATATAGATATATCCTATATTATCTTACTCTTGATGCTATGACTACAATGATTCTGGAGTGGGTTTCAGCATTCCTAACCGGTGCGTTTACTGGAGGCGGCAGAAATGGGGGCAGCGACGCGTCTGTAGAAAAAAATCTTGACAACCGTGGCAAAAAAAACTGTCTAGCGTGCGAACATTAGAGTACGTGCAGCGGGTACGGTGTTGTGCGCTGTTTGTACTGGCGCGCAGCAGAACCATTCACAGTGACTAGTTCACTGCTACGTTGCTGTTACTGTCGCTGATAGGGTCTATGTCCCCCAGGGTACTGCCGGAACGTACCCTGGGTACGGTCCGGTATACCGGAACGTACCCTGGTACTAAATACTACTATCTAATATGCCGGACCGTTGGGGTAAATGTCCGGGGGGTAATTGTCCGGGGGTAATTGTCCGGGGGGTGATTGTCCGGGGGGTATTTGTCCTGATACCGTATAGGTGTATATGTTCATGATACTATGACCATTATAACTCGTATACAAATTTGCTCCATATATAATGAATATAGGCATAGTAGCAACTGAGTATACGCTGATGGGGTAGGGCTGTTGGAAAGTTTCGCAGTTCTTCTGTTCTGTTAAAAATAACAGTTCCGTGGGTTGTAAGAAGTATATTGCTTCCATAGTTACTCACGTACGCTGTGCGGGATAGCGTTATGATGTATATTGTTTCCATAGTTACTCACGTACGCTGCACGGGGTCGGGTTGTAAGAAGTATTGTTTCCATAGTTACTCACGTACGCTGCACAAGATGGGGTTGTAAGAAGTATATTGTTTCCATATTATGATAGTTACTCACGTACGCTGCACAAGATGGGGTTGTAAGGAGTATATTGTTTCCATAGTTACTCACGTACGCTGCACGTAGTCGGGTTATAAGAAGTATTGTTTCCATAGTTGCTCACGTACGCTGCACAAAATGGGGTTGTAAGGAGTATATTGTTTCCATGGTTACCCAAGTAGCCTACGCTGCACAGAATGCGATTTTGGCGGAGTGATGTCGGCATGAACTGTTTCGTGGGGTTGGGCTAATATACATGCTCCATGTAAATCCGCGCGTTTCTGGGGAATTATTGGTGAGGTAGAGGTTATTGGGTTGAGTTAGGAGCTATGGGTGTGGTTTGGGTTATGGGGGTTAGTGGTTGGGGATTAGGGGTGGGGTTTGTGTTATGGGTGGAGTTGGGGGTTATTGGATGGGGTTGGGGCTATGGGTGGAGTGGGGAGTTATGGGGTAAGGTTAGAGGTTATGGGATAGGGCTGGGGTTATGGAGTTGGATTGAGGGCTGTGTTGCGGGATTGGAGACTATCGGGTGGAGGTGGAAAGAGTTTATTGCATGGTCCCCCGCATATCCGACTATAATAACATCAGGAGTGAATAATATGTCTATTATTATTCACTCCTGATAACATTAACCGATGCTAGCTGCTTAGTTCTATGTGGCCATGTCACTTAGATAATTAATGTTTATTTCTCACCTGCAGATGTCTTTCCACGGAGGCTTCTCTGAATTGATAGTCTTCGACATATGGAGAGTCGATACAATGTCCGGTGAGCCAACGTACTAGCCGGCGTGATTGTCACGCGTCTGTATCATAAATGTCACGCACATTTACGTGTCCACACTGGTATAGAGACGTCATTACACCCAGCATCTACACTTACCATTTGACTAACGATATACGAGAACCACGAATCTGCCAAGATATCGCTGCGTGGTTACACGGACGGGTATTACTGCGGCATCGCTGCGTGGTCGTTGGTTACACGGACGGGTATTACCGCGGCATTAAGATATCGCTGCGTGGTTGGTTACACGGACGCGTATTACTGCCGCATTCAGATATCGCTGCGTGGTTACACTCCTATCAGCGTTACTGTCCGGTTGACCGCGGAAAATACGAAGGGGGTCCAATTATTGTATTGTACAGTCGTCTCCGATTTATCTGGACGGGTCGGGAACCATTAAAATGTCCCGATTAAGCGGTGAACGTAACAACGTCAATAATAATGATTGTTTTTTTCAAAGCGATGCGCCCGTTTATGGGAGGCCCGATGAATCGGGAACCACGGTACTATGAAATGAAAGGTTATATGAAAAATTATAACAGTGGCTGGAAGATGCTTTGTTGAAATTACAGTATCTGTACGAGACGTATATTAATTCACTGTTTTTGTGTGACGCCGGAGTTTTGTCCAGTCGGTTTTTGCGGGTGGGGCAGCGTGCGCGCGTAGGAAAGAAAGGAATGTTAAAATTTAAAAAAATGTTGGTTTGATAGAAGGTAACTTAGTACCTGTTATTTTTAAAAATGAATGTAAAAAATCCTTGTACAGTTTCACGTTTGTATATTATCATGTGATAGAGAGTGCATGTATTCTCTTTCTCTCCACTGAATCAAATGTCGTGACCTAGGTCGCAGGTCAAAAGTTGTGACCTGAGTTTCGGGGCAAGTGAAGTGACCTAGATTATAGGTCAAAGATCGTGACCTAGGTCGCAGGTCAAATGTGGTGACCTGAATTTCGGGTCAAGTGATGTTACCTAGATCACAGGTTGTGGCCTAGGTCGCAAGTCAAAAGGTGGTTTGCCGCCTGTTTCGGAGTATACTTGTCATTTCATCGATTATATTGACGTGAGTGAGGTACCATGTTCTTGTTACAATACAGGTATGCTGTGGTCTTTATTTTAAATAAATGAATCGTTTAAATCATTTGCGTTTTCAATGATTATTATACTGTTGGACTGTGGCCAGGATCCGCTAGTAGTACGTGTGTGCTTGCGTGCGCGTGTGTGTGTGTGTGCGTGCGTGCGCGCTTGTGTATACGTAGGTGACTGCATATATTTGTACGCGATGCTTTCTAACGGTGATCGGAAGTTTCGGATCGCTTGTGTAATCTGTTGCGTTGTTAGTATAAGCACAATACAACGTGTGCTAGCAAACAGTGATGCAAGAGATGGACTGCGGTGCTTATAATTTGTGGGATTCGCCAGCGCACTAGAGTATAAAGGGACTCGACTAGCGCACACGACAAACATTATTTTAAAATCCTTGGAGAGTTTCAGTCTACACGCAACAAGCATTTTTAGCTCATCTGACGAAGTCGGATGCAGCTTGTAGAATCGCATGATTGTTTGTGCGTGCGTCCGTCCGTGCGTCCGTCAACAGTTGGGCACAAATCTAAACGGCTCGACGTACGGATTCGAACGTTCGGATTCGTGAGGGGGTGTAATCCGAAAACGAGTTGGGATGTCGAAGCTGGGGGTCAAAGGTCAAAGGTTAAGAGGTGAAAAGAAGGGGGAACATTCCTCTTAACTTAAGTAAGAGAGCGAATTGCAGAATTGCGGCAGCAAATTAAACGCTCGACCTAGGCTCGTGATGTCGGTGTATAGCATCATGGTAGGAAAAGCCATCACTGGTGCGAAATTGGAGGTTACAGGTCAAAGGTGCAATGGGCAGTGACAGGGCAGACATTTTGCTGAGGACATGGTCTGACGGAGCGATTGAAAAAACTTTTTGTTTTCAGCGGTGACGCTACATTTTTAATGCTTTATTGAAAGGGACTATGAAATGTGGCTTCGCACTGACGGTGCGAAGAGTCAAGTGTCTGATAACCTTTTGACCTGCAAGAGGAGGTTCAAACATGGATTCCTGAACTGCCGCAATATGTTCAGGCAGTGTGGTCTCATATATTTACCGGGCACACGTCCATCAATCTGGAAACCGCAATATGCGCCTCGATAGCCCAAAACGGCTACAGCAGAGAATTATTGCTCGGAAAGGTCTTTGTCGAGATCCGATCAGACTTGTTCCATATTATACCTGTTTTGCTGTATTTTTCTATCTTTAATCCATAAACTATTTCTTTGCCAATTAGGCAAATATTTACATGATTCTATTTACAAATTTCATAACAACAAAGTAATTTTTACAACAATTAATTTTTTTCAATAGTGGTTAGGGTTAAGGTCACAATGACCATAAAACAGCGATTAGTTCAGGCACGCTCGATTGTAATTCAACCGAAGGTGGATTTGGAGTATGGCAGAATGCAGAAGGTTGCTGAAATGATGTGTACGCACTGCATATCTGGCGCATAACACAAGTGTCACTACTGCCAGCGACTTGTTACGTTTAGTAACCGTAGCAACAGACCTCAGATGAGCCCAGACGCTCGTGCGGCTACTTGTTAACGTATGCTAAATGTCCACAGATTCAAACGTCCAATCTGCACCGAACTTTGGGTGATACTTCATAGCGTAGCTTGTGAGCTTCGTGTAACAGGACGTGTAATCGTATAGTGTCCAGGTTCGTTTGTACGACAAGATAGTGTTGCAATTTGCACTTAAGCCACAGACAGTATAATGCTATAAACGCACAGAATACTAACGGTACTCTATTTTTACGTCATCTGACATAGTCAGTGCAGCTTGTAGAATCGCATGATCGTGCCTGTCCGTCCGTCCGTGACTCGTGCGTACCAGTGGCGTCGCGTACGTCCGTTCCGTCGGTCCGTTCCGTCAACGAGTTGGGCAGCAAAATCTAACGCTCGACGATACGGTCACGATTATTTCGGGACGTGGGGGGTAATCCGGAAAACGATTGGGATTGTCGAAGCTGGGGTCAAAGTCAAAAGGTCAAGAGGGTAAAAGAAGGGGGAACATTTCACTCCTTAACTGTAAGGTATACGGGATAGGAAGCCAGAATTGCGTTCATCAAATCTAAACAGTCGACCTAGGCTGGCGTGAAGTCGTGTAATAGGCAATCAATGGTAAGGAAAAGCCATCACTGTGCCGAAATTGGAGGTCACAGCCGGTCGTCACAAGGTCAGTGGGCAGCCGGCAGATTTTAGACATTATTCTGAGCACATGGTCTGACGGAGCGATGAAAAACTTTTTTTTGTTCAGCGGTGACTTAGCATTTTATGGCTTTAATTGAAAAGGACGATGAAATGTCCCTTCTGCTGTACATGCGAGAAGAGTAAGTGTCGGATTAACCTTTTGACCTCTAAGAGAGGGTTAAAACATGGATTTGTTGACTGTTAACAAGGAGTGAACTGCTTTTTGCTATAGAGCCCCTCCCCACCCTCTCCCTTACCCCCCTCACACCCCCTCTCCACCCTCCGCACCCCACCCCTCCCCCACCCAGCCGCCTCTGCCCCTACGCCTCGCCATCTGCGATAGTGGGCGTGTCCTAACATGATGTGTACGCAACTGCGTGTCTGCATATCTGGCGGCCTAACAAATGTGGTACTACGCACGACTTGGAAAAATTACGTTTATAATCGTAGCCAACAGACCTCAGATGAGCCAGACGGCTCTGCGCTCTTTGTTTACATGAAACAACATCATATTGACAATATTACATAACAATACATAGGTGGCTGCGGCAAGCCAACGCAGTAAATACGATGCAGATACTACAATACATATCTATATCAATAACATAATCAATGAGACTAATAACACAGGCACAATTACAGACAGCGCTGTTTGTTAGCAATGCAGCTGGCATACTATCCGAGCGTGGAGCCAATGTAGGTCGCAGCAGCAAGACACAGGTCGCAAGTCAGTGATGTCCAGGCGGTGACGTAGCAGTAGTGATCGCCAGCAGGTTCTGTCAGCAGCCGTGGAACTGTGTCTGCTTCCTGTCGAAACTGTTCGTATTTATACATACTGGGGGAATGCGGGCCTGCGCCGTCAAGGCCTTGTTGCGTGCGGATGGTGCAATCTGTATCCTTCTCCAGAATTTTATGGAACAACTGAAGGTGAGAGACTTCTCTTCTAACGTGAGAACGGCAGCTGGAGCTTCTAGAAGTCCTTGGAAATCGCGGAAGTTGCGATTCATGTTCTCATAGTTCACATAGTACACATTGTCGGCGGTGCGTTCGTTGTTGTTCTTTATCAGTCGGCATGCGACATCAAGGTGTGAGGTACTAAAATGTAATAGTGTCGCCTTGCGTAGGTGATTACTTTCTGCTCTGTCGTCGCCATATTTTCTATTCTTTTGTTGTGTCACGCGCGTGCCACGCGTACGTGACCCAGCGCCGGGCGTGCGCGGCTTAAGACTTAACGGTCATAAGACTCGTAGCAGTCGTCACTTGGGATATTCGTGGTGGCAACTTTCACTTGTTACCATTGACTGATATTTGTCGACTAAAATAACATATGACGTGATGCTGCTTAAGTTAAACGACCCGTGTCGCTAGTTTTATACTAGGTTAAATAATTCAAGATCTACGTCATTACATACTCCATTAGAAGTGTTCCCAACTTTAATGTCATTAATGGTCATAATATATATATATATAGTATATATTATATATATATATATATGGTCATGGTCCTATATTAGTTTGTGGTTTAATGTCATTTAGGTTAGGGTTAGGGTTAGGAAAATCAATCATTAATCATTAATCATTAATTGATATCAAAGTTTGGAACACTCATAATGGAGGCGTTAGCGAATCTTGTTGCCGGTTTAACGTTGCAAACGAGCAAGTTACTACGCCGCTGTTAGAACCGATAAATTGTGCTCTATAAATTTGCAATAACC